GTATACTTCCCTTGTATAAGTGTTATGTTTTTATCAAAATGCCACAGAAGCTTATTTGCTAATTAAAATTTAAAAATAGCATCCATGATATTCCATTAAACTCTTTCAGACAGTGCCAAAACAGAAATGTTATAAATAAATTTATCATAAGTATAATAGAATCATACATACATACATATATATAACGTTATATGAACTTACAAAAGTAAAGAACATAGTACATGTTATCAACACATTGGTAAACGACAAGCATATGAATAATGTGTAAGCAGTTATTAACACTTTAAACTGTATCAGCTACCCTTCAGAAATATAGCCAAATAATATAATATTATAAACTTAGCTAATATATAGAATTGGCTATTGCAGAAGCGAGATAACTTTGTATCACACGAGATTAAGTAATTATAAAGTAAAACTATGAGAGAATATAAATCCGTTTGCAAATGGATTGCGTAAATTCATCAGTTTCTTAAGTTTGTTGCTCGCGGGTTTTATATAGATTCATAAGTTATGTTAACAACATTGAAAACGACACAATCTTTCGAAGAAGGGAACATTTAGCATTCTTCATGAAAGTGAGAAATCCCGTGTAACTCTTAAAACAATTCTTTAACAGCAACGTCTTCAGGTAAATATCATAATTACGAAAGAGAGTATTTCAATTCTGCAAAAAGAGCTTGGACTTATCTCTTGGGGGGGGGGGGGTCATAATCTAGATATCGAATAAAGTTTCGAAGATAACGAAGACCAAGTTTACAAACGTCTTCCCATACCTCGAAAACAACCTCCATGTGGAAGAAGATGGAATAAACTAGAATCACAGCAATCCCACTTGGCTATACATCTTTCAAGTCTCCAATACAGCTGCAAGGAACGTTTGAGCTTTCGTAAGACTTATTAAGAAGTGTTTCCTAAGATGTATCCATTCATTTAACACATAAGCTTGCTACATTGTCCGACAATAGAGGGCTTCATGACCATCAGAGTAAGTAAGAAGGACAATAGCGGAAGTAGTTTCAAGGGCGTCACTAAACCTAGAATATCATTCTTGTAAAGTGTAATTGACTCTCATTAATGTTTCTTAATAATATTTCAAATATTCTTTCCCGGGAAGAGTTGTAATAAACTTCTCCCGTCATAAGCATATTCATTCAGGGGTTGCAATTTTATTTGGTCGAGAATTAGTAGTAAACCAAATATATACATAAGTGATAATCGTGTTCATTGTGGCCCCACGGCTCGCATCCATTGCAACATCAACTGAATTAGTATATAAAAATAATAAAAATATTTGCTATAAAGAGCAATTAATCGTTCAGTTTGTTACTCTGAAAGCATATACTATTTCACCAAAATTAGCTAATTTTAAAGAAAGGCTGAAAGTGATAAATCGCCAACATTCACATGCATTTTGCATGCTGTTATAATACATCATAAGATCTATCATCTATCATTAAGTTCCTTGTATATTGTCTCTTGAACTCCTGAATAGAAATCACAGATAATCGTATCTATCCATTACCTTAATGAAACCCTTCACCTATTTTGAACAAATACATTTAGAGAAGCTGGTAAATATGCTTAAACTTTATTTGTCTAGTAATCAAAATGAAGATACTGATAACTAAACAAAAACGAACTATGGAATGAGAGGTTTAACAAAACTGGACCAGTTTGATGATACCTGGAAAAAATCAGTATGTCATAATATATATTAACAAGTCTAATAAATTCAAATTACTGCAATTCGCAAATAAAAGTCCCGTAAAAATAAGAAATATCCAGCATACCTTAAGAAGATAGAA